TAGACGTTGACCTTATCGATTAAGCGCTAGCTTAGTGACTCACTTCGTACGTACGCACATGTGCTGCTATCGTTCATTTCTCACTCCGGTTTTCCCCTCCGCGCGAATCCTTAAAATCCTCTACCTTCGTCCCTCTCTCCCACTTTCTCGCCACCGTCTAAACTCTACGTTACAAATCACGTTACCACACTCGCCTCCTACCATTTTTTCTCTCTTCCTCTAACTTTGTCTTTAAATTACGTATATCTGTAGTGTTCTTTTTTTTTTTTCGTCTTTTTTCCCTTACGCGACTATATAAGAGTAAAGATAAAATATATAATTTGCATCTCACACATTCCGGTTAACGCTAGGAATTCTTCTCCCTTTCTCATTACCCCGTCCGCTTTTTTTCTCGTTTTCTCTTTTGTCGCCGCGTTTATACACGTATAGTTTACTCTATATATCAGTAGTCTCGCTATCCAATGGATACAAAATTTTCTTCTTCCTCTTCTCTTTCATTTTAAGCTAAAACTGGTGTGCTCACGGCGATCGCTCGCGGCATGCGCCTCGATAGACACCCTTTTCCTCTCCGTTTCCTTCTCGTCCTCCCGCGTTAGGATCCGCGAGAATTGCATTGCTGCCTGCGCGAGACGAGACGGCGGATTAAAGGTGAATATGGAAGATCGACGAACGGCGGGGCCCGATGTTTATCGGCTAAGTAACGCCGCGCGGTTATTGCACAAGTTTCTGTTTTTCCAACGCGTGTGTCACGAACGACAGGGAACCGGGGCAAGGGAGAAACACCGGTGATAAATTTTCCGCGATAAAGAGCAAACGAATTTCTCCGCGTTCCCTAAGCGGTGAACCGGAGGACCTTGAATGAACAAAGAACGAAAAGGATATTTTCCACGTTCGATCGACCGATCGACCGATTTAACTTTCTGCCACGAACATACGCGCCGACGAATTGAGACACAACACAATGCACCGCTCCGGAGGAAAAGAATTTCAACGAGGATTAATGCTAGCAACCTAGTGCCCGCGAAAAGTCTCTGAAAACGGTTTGTCAGACAGGCATTTATGCGTGAAATTTTGCCCGGCACTGTTCACAACTAACGCGTGTCGTAACAGTCGATACCTGTGACGCAAGGGCAATAAATACTTCCTTTGTCTCGAAAGCCGCACCCTACGCTTCAATGCCGGCCATTACCTGGCCTACATAGATGGTATCGCTGATTAATGCAGCCAGAATTAACACATGTCTCACTTGTCCACCGCGAAACGCGGCAAAAGTCCTACCGAAATCGTGCGAGGTTAATCGATCTATCCGAACTGGAAAACCTTTCCTCCCTCTCGACGACTGACCAGACTAACGCGAAAATTTCACCTAATCAACACGACGATATACGTATACGATCGAAACGAAAAAAAGTCGTCGGACTAATCGACGTCGATCTCGCGTTGGCAGGCACAGCGCTGTCGCTAGATGCCGAGTAGAGAAACGGCGTAGCAAAAATGCCACCCCGGTTGACAGTCCGACGAATGTTGCGTATACGCGCCGGTGCAAATGCCCGCGTTGGAAAATAATATCGCGAACGGGTCGTGGAAATTGAAGCACGCCGCTTAGTTTGCGCTTTTTAATAACGCGATATACCGGCGGCGGAGGTTACGTAAGTTTCCCGGTAAGTAGCTTTCGATGTTAAAACCGCGAGAACGGAGATAACCTTCCTCGGTCTCGAGCTACTGCTACACACAAGGCTATCTAACCGACGAAACGAAATAACGAACAGAGAGAGAGAGAGGGAGAGGGACTGAAAAAAAGAAGGAAACAATTGCGGAGGTAAGTAGATCAGAAACGAAAGCCGAAGGTGTATGTGTGTAAATATATACGCGTTATTTACCGCCGGTGTTCCTCTTTCCTTGAAACTTTTACGAAAACCCATACCGACAACGATGCGGAGCCCCTCGACGGGCTATCGAGCTTAATTGACGCCAATTTGCCGGAGCAATTTAGAATCACGACCCCTGACCGTAAACGTACGAGGTTTCGGCGCTTCTCCCCACTCTCCTTGCCGATTCGACGATAAAAGGAAGACGAGTTCGCAAGAGACAGCGCGAGCGATCGTCGACGATTTTCCGTTTTTCACAGGTTCGTTGCTCCTCAAAGGGACAAAAAGTTCGATACATAAATAAATCTCTGGAGAAAGAAAGGCCGGCCGGTGCTCAATGGATGCGCTTGCGCGAGCTGGACCATGTATTACGTATATCAGTTCCACATATATTTTTCTCTCACCTTCCGTATCATCTCTCCGTGATCGTTTTTCCCCTTCTTCGCCCCATCTCTCGTTAACGCGAGAGAACAGACCGGAAGAAAGTTCGCGGGACACCCGGTGTACAGATCCCAAGGGAACGTAGCGATCTACATGTAAACGAGATTTCGCGAGATCCCCAGATTATTTTTTTCTCCCCCATCTATATATATGTACATCTATACTCTTCCATTCCTTCTCTTCTCCGATCGTTTCCATTTTCTCTTTTCCTAAATACCGTCCTTCCCTCGTCGTAATTACCGTTAATCGTCGTCCATTTGTCGTCTTTGTCGTTTATACATTTATTACGTGTTTCGTTAATTATCGTTTATTACGTATATCGTTTAAATTGCGTGTATACAAGGTATAAACTAAATTAATGTCGATCTAAGTTTTACAACACAGCACAAGAATTCGCCGCGGCAGAGTTCTCCGACGTGTCGCCGGCTCGGCGAAGCAGGGAGGGTGGACGTGGAAGCGGCGACGGCGCAGGCTATAGCCTGCAAAGCGATATACGCCGTCGTCGATTCTTCATCGATCAGAAACTTCACCGAGCCGACAGATGGTGCGTTTGGTCACTGCTTGGCACGCTTAACGCGCTCTCGACGGACGCGAGCATCCGCATTCGAGCCAATATGTATAATGTAATAGACGCGTGTTTTGACAGGCATGCGAGCTAACTGGGAAACGGAATGGATCACGGTTGACATGCGTTCCAACATGTGACTAGTGATTGCGCGTTAATGGTGTAACGGAGGAATCGGGGGGTGTGTTCAACTCGAGCGTATTTCACTCTCGCGCGATTTTCACGCGATCGCACAGGTAGGATGGATCGTACGGATCATTTTTTTCTTTTTCTGCAATTGTATTTCTTTAACTGTGATTGCACGGAGATTGCCGAGGGGGAAGTACAGTCGAGTAGTGATAATACTACGTTTTGATTTTCATTTTGGATCGTTCTTTATGCGAATTTGAATTCTCGACCGGTCGAGTAGAGGAACGGTACGAACGAAAGGAGCGTGGGATAGTGTTTTCTGTCGGCGGTTTTGCTCTCTAGTGTCGCTATTAAGGTGCCAAGCGGTTTCATGCCGAAAGCATCCTATTCCAAAAATACGCTACGAATTACATCACTTGGTAACTTGGCCTCGTGTCGCGCGGAGCAGCGGTAAATTTTCAAATGGCCACTCGCCCGCGAACATTCCCCGAGTTTTGGTCCTATCGAGGATCTCTCTCTCACCGGAGTCGCCTTTCTCTATTCTTTCTTTCCATTTTGTTTCGCTGTTGCTTCGAGTATTTACAGGTTTCGAAAGAAAACGCAGCGAATATATATATATATATTTGTCTTTAGCAAACGGTTCTCTTTTACCTGAACGACGTTTCCATAAACTTCGCGTGTACGTTGAAAACAGGTGTTTGCCATAAAGTCCCGTAATTGCTCTCTGAATTATACTGAAATTTTGCTGAATAAATTACGACTATGACGAAAGTGTAATCTAGTTTTTCTATCGGATAGTAAGGAAAAGAAACGATAAATAGTAATTGCTCGTTTAGACAACCGGTCCCGCGATCCTTGGGAAACACCTTTTTATCCATGTAGCCGCGATACTTTTGGTTACGAAAGAAATGCATACCTAATTACAATATACAGCGATGCATTACCCGTAATTCTTTTTAGCTGCACGCTCGATGGGAATAAACTAAGAGGGTCCATTTCGACATGTTCTTCAAGCGGTGTACGATCGAAAGAGAGATAAAAGAAACAAACAAAGAGAACGACCAAAAAAGTGGCAATAATAATTCGAACGAAAGAAACCAAGAAAATAGTGAAATATTCACACACACAAGAGTGCAAGAAAAAAAGTGGAATTTTTTCAAACTGACCTTTCGATGACACCGATGAAGAAATGTCAAGTCGGTTCGATTCTGCTCCGCCGGAGGCCTCCGCACTCCTAACACCACTGTTTTTCATTCATTCGAGTCAGCACACTGTCCGGAGAAACAGGGATTGCCCTTGTTTCGTGTTCGCGATTGGCCCAAACTACTGGCATACATCGAAAGATACCCGATCGATCACCAAAAAATCACTGGAATTGAACGAATTGCGGTACAAGCACACACTGATATTACTTCACTGATTCCACGACAACGTAATCGAATTTTCCCTTCTCTCTCTCTCTCTCTCTCTCTCCGTTTAATTCTTCACCAGCTTCGTCCATTAGCCGGATACAGAGTTTAAGTGTGCGGCCATTCTACTCGGAAATTCTTCACCGTTTTCTCCGGTTCCCCTCTCTATCCACCATTTTCTTTTCTCTCTCTCTCTCTCTCTCTCTCTCTCTTTCTCTCTCGTTTGCTTCCATTTCGAATCCTCCCGGCACTGGAGAAACACACATTCGAAGATCACACTTGGCACGTTCGCGATTCCTAAGTAACCCTCGCTGAGCCACCGCGGGTATCGTAGAGAAAAACCTATCTAAACGATCCTCTAAAGAACACTAAACCGTTCATCTAATCGCTAAATAGAGACACGATTCGGACGACCGTCCTTTTTCCTCTAAGTATTTTCTGTTTTCACCATGCGCTCTTTTTTTTCCTCTCCTCTTTTCCATCCTGTATAACCTAACCGCACTACGGCCTCTACGCGCGTGTGTACGACGTGTAAGAGAATAAATAATAAAACGCTTTCCTAAAAATTCGGGTAGATTTTCCACGCGGTCACAACGTTTTCTCCACCAAAGATTCACCGTCGCTCGATCCACACGATCCTCACCTTCTCCTCTCCGCCCATCATTCTCTCTTTCTCTGTCGTCAAATTCACACACACACATTTTCACTCTTCACCAAAATATCACTCTACACGCTTGCAAAACCACGGGCGCTCATTCATTCTCTACTATACAATTATTAAGGATCGACCATTCAGACGCGCAACATACACTCGCGCTTTAAAGTACGTAATTATTCCGTTTCCCTCTCGTTCACTCTCATTCTCGCGCGTATATTACCACACACGCACACACGCACACACACTCTCTCTATCTATCATTCTTTCTCTGCCAAGAGTTATCTCTATATCATTATAGGCTTTAGTACAATTACATTCGATTAAATGTAACAGAGGTTAACGCGGTTCTGATTAGCATGTGATCCAGTTTTCCTCCAATCCTATCTCTCTCACTCTCTCATCTCCGTTTTCCTCTGCATGCCGCCACGTGATTATTAGAAGATCGCGCGTCCCTATAAATCTTCATCCGACTCGTTCGTGTGTCCGGTTCCCTTCCCATTCCGTCTCTCCCTCGGTGTCTTTTCTTCACTCCCTCTCTCTCTCTCCTCGCTTATCTTCGCATTCCCTTCCCTGTCTCCCTCTTGCACGCGCAATCTCTCTCTCTCTCTCTCTCTCTATCTCTCTTTCTTTCCCTTTGTCATCGTCCCTGTGTTCACGTCTTCACTTTCCATCCGCACTGTCGGGCCACGTTCATTTCTCTTCCACGTTCGTCTCTATCCCGTCTTTATCCCTTACGTCGTCCTCTCCTTTTTTGGTACGAGCAACTTGATTAACACGACAAAATAAGCGTCATTGCTGTATGAGTGGG